ACCTGTTCCAAAAGAAAACCCATAAATTTTATTTAAAAAGTAGTTTGAAGACAAGACTGCTCACCTCAACTCTGCTGCTTTAAGTGAGTAAAATGAAGTAGAATTGTTTAGGTGCTAGTTTTTCTTTGGATGTTTCCTGTGGCTTTTTGTAATAAAGGGGAAAAATGCAGAAAATCTACACTGTGGTTCTGGGTGGAACTGGCTTGAGTAGAGTGTTTGTCACTCTGATCTTCTCATTGCAATGTCGTCTTCCCAGGGAAACTTGTCTTCTGGTGTCCCAGTGTAACCAGCCACCTGTGCAGTTTTTCTTTAACAGAGATGCAGGTCAGTCAGTCCAGACAGTCTGGTTTGAAAAAGTCTGTTTGGAGGGGAAAAAAAAAAAGCATTCAAGGATAAAGAAAATGTCAGAACTGGATTAAGGATTGATTGTACATGCAGTTATTTGGCTGAGTCAACAAGGAAATAATTTCTGTTAGGGGTAGGGGAGAAGGAGGAGGAAGGGTAATGCCAAGCAAGTATGAACAGAGTGGGGTTTTGTAGTTTCTTGGCATGGCTTTACTTCAGACAGCACAGCCTGACTGAGAGTGCCTAAAGTTAATGCAGTGAAGGTTCAAACTAAAGTTGAGGACATGTGCCTTTGCTGTTATTAAATTAGTATGGCTTTGTGGCAGTTCCATGGGCTAATATAATCCTTGGGAGTGTATATTGAGGCCCAGGGAGTAGCATTTCGGAATTGGGGCTGAGTAGGTGTTCTTGGCTTCTGCTTAAATATTGGTAAAACCAGTCCTGGAGTGCTGCAGTTCTTGCGTGAGATTTGACTGTGGATTCGGTCATCAAAATTTGGCCTTTATGGGCTTTAGATTATGTTTACTTTGCTGTAGTCAGAGGGCATAAAGTAAATACAGTTAGTGGTTTGTAGCAAAATACTAAACCATAGGGTCATTAGGTATGCACTTAAAGGTTAGAGGAAGTTACTACCATCCTTGGACGTGTTTAAAAGATGCACAGACCATGCTTAAGGACATGGTGTAGTAGGGGACTTGGTAGTGCTGCATTAAGGATTGGACTCTATGATCTTAGTGTCTTTTCCAATCTAAACAATTTTACTGTTCTGTTCATCACTTCAAAACTGTTAAACTAGGACAGAAGTTTCGCTGTGTAAGCCACATCTGCACTCCCACAAAGAGGTTTCCAGGTCTTGAATCCCATCCCCTGGGCTCGTCTCATTGATGGGAGATCCTACCACGTCAACAACTGCACGTCCAGAATAGTGTGGTTCCTGTGGTAGTAGGTCCTATACCATGTTTTTCTGCTCTGTAGTTGTGGTACAGAAGTACCTGCTACTCCTAGATCAAGACCTGTTTGAGAGAGAAACTCCAGAATACCACTCTCAGCACCTGTAAGAATAATGGAGAAGCAGGTCATCTGATGGTGAACGAAAAGCATGTTTCACAAGTGAACGTGCTGATCAGAGCATTCATTTCCCCAGAGGGTTATAGTTGGGTATGCCTGCTGCAGTAAAAGAGGAGATTTTTAAGCAAAAAAAAGCCACAATAAATGGAGTGACTGACCAAATCATGAGGGAAATCTCTCAGGACTCTTGTAAGCAAGAGGATAGCACCCAACAGAAACAACATGTGCTTTTCTGTACTCTAGGTATAGACTGTGTGCTGGCTGTGTGTGGGAGATTCATCTTTCTCCAGGGAAATGGAAGCAAATTTGAAAGTGGACGTTGGTCACCATGTCTCCATTTGGAAGCAATGGTCTTTTCCTGAAACTATCCAGATCTTTTTTTGTCTTGGTAGCCAGTGCGTCTTTTCCTTTTGTGCAAGGTGGCCTTGTTTCAAATACTGTGCAGATAGCTTAAAATGTAATTCATCAGCTCCTGTGTTTTTGTTTTGGTTGCTTTTCTTCTTTTTTAACTATTTGTTTAACTATTACTTTCGACACAGTCATTACATTTTGAAAGTTAAAATTAAGTAATACATTAAAATGTGCTGGATTTGTAGACCATATTTCTTTTATGTAGGACAATCTTGGACTTTTGATGCAACTTTCCAGTGTAAGCTGATTCTTCCATGAGAAGTCTAGATACCCAGTCCTGAGTGTTTCTTGCTGTTTGTCTCCAGAGAGGAGACACCAGACACTCATGTCACCATTATTGTCACCCTGCTGATTATCTTGGGTCCTGCAGCCTGCACACAGTGAAGCTGGTAGAAGCTGGGGCGGTCTCCAGCTGCAAAGGTTGGTTGTCTCTTGTGAAATTCAGGAGCTAGAACCTTTGCCTTACCTCACGCAGTGACTGCATGATTACAGTCTGCAAATGGTTGTGTCTGGCTTTCAGACTACTTCATTAAGAGTTAATTTATATGCAAGTTTGGTTTCCAAAAAAAAGAACACACATGACTGATCCACCCTATCATAAATTTTTATAATGATAAGGTGGTGCAGGCTCATCTAAAATTCCTTCCAAAGGCGGTGTCAGAGTTTTACTTTAGTCATCCTAACCATCTTTTCCTTCCCTGTATTTCTGCCATAGCAAGGCTTTGTTTACATGAGCTGGATCTTAATAGTTCTACTCCCACTCCCACCCCCACTGGCACTTTGCAACATATTGTAGATTATCATCACTAAACTTCAGTTTGGCATCTTTGTTTTTTTATTAAGAGGCATTTGTTTTCCTCAGAATCCTTTTCCTTGAAGCAACTCTCCTCAACATTTGACTCTATTTTTGCGGCTGATGTTACGAACAGACTGTGTACTTCAGAAACAGCTTTTTTGTGACTGTCTAGGAAGGGATGGAGAGAGAAGGCAGCAGATGTATTGGGCAGTTTCAGGAGTGAGTTTGGAACAGGAAGGAAGGAATGGACTTCATTCTCTGCTGATAAGGATAGAGGTGGGGGAACCTTTAAAAACTCGCCAGTGGATGGCTGGCAGGCTTGGCAGAGATAATGAGCATTACTGAGAAAAACTGAGATATAGAACAGGAGAAAATTTGTAGGAGGTCAGGAATCTTTATGACCTTTCTCCTCAGCCCACGATAAAAAGGAAATATGTTTGCATGGCTCTAAAGAATGCCAGAGAAGGGCTGATGGCAGTGCTAGTGAGGAGCCCAGGGTGCTTTGTTGTGCTTTGTGCTGACGCAGCCATGTGCATAATTGATCCAGGTGAAACAACGTGCACTCTCATTGCCACCTTGCCTCCTCCTGATGAAATCTAGGTAAAATGTTTGTCATCTGCTGTGTGTATCTAGAAGGTCAAACAACATGATGCTGTCAACACCTTAACCTACAGATGAGCAGTGTAGTGGTAAAGCAACTTCCTCCAGAGCTCCTTTCCCATGCCTCCCTTTTAGAATTTTCCTTAATAGGGTTATGAGGCCCTAAAATGTGCTTTCAGGATCTATGAGATGGGGGGCTGTAACACTGATAAATCTTCTTTCATGAGCTAAGACCTCTAAGCCTAGAGCTGACTCGTGCAGTCGTAATGTGTAAGGTGTGTGGGTTTGCTCTTTGGTCAGGTCAAATTAGGGTAAAGGCAGAGAAGCCTAAAGGAAAAAAAAGGAAATTTACGGGTAAAGGTTGTACTTATTTTTGGCCTTGGTGTGCTACCAGAAGTGCAATAGGAAGGAGGAAATGCAGTGTGTCATAGATACTTCCACTGGAAGTGTTTGAAAACCCAGGTAGATCTCTGGTACCTGCCTTTGCTGAAGTGTTGCTTATGAGTTGGAAAAGTTGAAGGGATGGAAGCATTTTTACTCCAAGACAGGCATTGCTAGTACCCAGTGGTCACAAATGCATTTTTGAAACCTAAAAATCAGGCAGCCACAAAATTTAGCTGGAACCCATTCTGTGTTGTATGAGGCGATGAAGAAGGTGGCTGCTGTACAGTCCATAAAATGAAAAATCTTTGGAAAATATTGTCATTGCTAAGGAATATGTTAATGAGAACAATACAGGAATTTAATCTTGAGCTAGGATTTCAGTTGTCTGGTTTTGGTACTGTATGGGTTTTTTGTATGTACATATTTTTGTATGGGTTGGGTTTTTTTCCCCCCTTTTTGAGGAACAAATGGGCACATCCTAATTATAGTATAATGGGACTCCTACCATACATTCATTCATGTACAGCTGGGTTCTGCAAGAAGTTTGTGTGCAGATGATGGTTTTGACTGTGTATTCAAACTGATAGTTTGATGGAAGATGTGAAGGGGTCTGAAGGAAATGGAGGATTAAATTCAGAAAGTTGGGCGAGGATCCTCTGTCCAAAGCAACAGAGTTTTCCTCATTATATCTAGTTTTCTAAGAGTAAAGTCAGGTTACCTCACCTGTTACATTACACTCTAGTAACCCTGGTGAAACAAGCGTTTTATGACACTTTTTGTGGTGTGTAACATTTTCTTCTTATTTGTAGCATTTCACATTGCAATCCTTTGAGAAGAGAAAGCCTTCTTTCTCCTGTCCTGAGTTTTCTTTCTAAATGGGACAATGTTGTGTTCAGGAAAACATTGCAAGCCTATGTTGAAGGTCTCTCTTCCAAGTGTCAAGTCTTTCAACTCAGGTTGAAAGCCAGTTTTTCACCAGTTTCTTCTTACCAGGAGTGAAAAAACATATCCTTGATTCACCAAATAACTAGGATCCATTAAAGATTAGTTGTCTGTTACATTGATCATTTATTACTTTATTACAGCAGTCACAAAATAGTCTACCAAAAAAGACACTAATTTTCAGTCAACCAGCCTTGTAAAGACTTATTTTAAAGAACAAATAATGTGGAAGAAAACCATAAACTGGAAAAATAGTCAATTTAGATATTACTGTAAATTTTCCAAGTTGCTTAAAAATAGATGTTGCTCATATGTTATACAATGCATCCGCTCTTAAATGTGGTAGTTATGTTTAAATATTTAAATGTTTCAATAGTGTTAAATAGTTTTATACTTGTTCTAAATTAAATTCTTCTGGCAAAGAGTTTTTTATTTTGTTTCTATTGTGCTCCAGACTCTCCTACAGATTTGTGGTGTGGTGGCTGTGGCTGTGGCAGTGATTCCTTGGATGCTCATCCCCTTAATTCCACTATTTATTCTTTTCATTTTTCTTCGACGATATTTCTTAGACACTTCAAGAGATATTAAACGTCTAGAATCCACAAGTATGTAGTTTGGTGGGACTTAATGTTAGTTTGAACCCTACTTATTATTATGTGAAATGCTACGATTTTATAGACAGTCCATCAAAGAATTTTTTTTCTTTTGCTATGCAAATAACTTCCTTATTGCCTTGGTTCTCAACTAGTGAATTACATGCTTAACTCCTGTTTTGCATAATGATAAACCTAGGATATGTCTGTTAACTATCTGTAAATAAAGCCAGTTAAGAATATGCTAAGCTGCTGGTCTTTGGGACCTTGCATGCATATATTAATGGTATTTCTGACCTTATCTGACTCCTGTGCCTGACTTTAGCTTGACTATGATATGGAATATTAAGCATTATGAATAACAAACTTGGGTGCCTAATGTCATTAAAAAAGCCCAAAGAATTTCTACAGTGGCAGCTATTGTTAAAAATGTAAGACATTTTTGTATAAATTAATCTGCCTGCCTGTCTGACTGATTCTAATTGAGTAAGAGAACATTAGTTAAAGATACTGCATATTTATTCTCAAAAGATGCAGTAGAGTAGTTTGTATGCTTAAATATAAAGTGGTAGGATTAAAGATTAGTGTGGTACAAAAAGAATTAAATGTTGTCCTTTATTTATTGTTAAGTTAACTCAACTCTCATTTCCCTTTGTAGCTCGAAGTCCAGTGTTCTCCCACTTGTCGTCATCCCTCCAGGGGCTTTGGACTATTCGGGCTTTGAAAGCTGAGGAAAGATTTCAAAAATTATTTGATGCACACCAAGACCTCCATTCAGGTTTGTGATGAATTGATGTGAAAAATCAAATACTTTGCACGGTAGGAGGGAAATATCTTATGCCCTCAGCGACATGTATATAATGTGCATTAAAATCAGTAGGAGCTGTGCATTTGTCTCTTTAGGGTAAAATTCCTGTATTAGAACAAAAATATTATCTGTCTAGATTTAGAGAGTTTACTTTGGGCTGTAATATAATTTAGAATACCCATGCATATGTTTTAAAAATGTATAAGATAAACATTTGAAAGTATGCCTGATAAGAATACTTAAAGAATAATTTTTAACATTTTCCTGGATTCCGTCTTTAAGAAAAGGAACGGTAGCGGGAGGATTCAGAAAGATGTGGAGGAAACAAGCTATATTGTGAAACATTTGATACTAAGTAGTGTGCTTGGAATGGTATAAATAATCTTGGGAAATTTTCATAAATCTAACTTATTTTTTACTTTGAGCAGCTTTCAGGGCTTAAATCTAAACTATGGAATTAACATAATTGAAAGGTGTGAAATATTCGTGTTCTGCAAGCATAAGTAATATAATTCAGGTTTGGACTGTGATTCTTTGACTTCTGTTATTTAAATGTTCTCTATTGCAATGTTCTTCAAGATATAGCAGAATGCAAGTTTTCAGTTTTGTGTTTGTTAGGTAAGATTGTGACTGTCCTCTGTTGTAAGGCATACAAGTATATTTGATTGCTGTTTTGTAATTTATAGATTTACAAGGTTTCAGACAAGACCAGCTGGTCCTTTCTGAAGTACAGCTTATAACAGGTTGTAGCATCATACACAATGACCATGTTGAGCCCAGTGACTTGTGACTGGTGTAGTGCATTTTCCAGGGAGGAACCTCTAGCCTTGAATTTCCCATTTTTAATATTTTATAGTTGCATTTTATTTTATATGTGACCAAATCAGTGTTACAATACCTGATAGCAAGGGAAGACATAGTTGTGGTTTAGTTTTCTATAAAAGACATCTTTAGGCAATAAACTGCATATAGATGTTTCACTATACAAAGAGGACCATGACATTTAAGTGAAATACTTTTCTGTATTTTGAGGTCAGATCCAGGGAACATAAAAACACTTCCACTTTTCAGTCAGTTTTGTGCATCTCCCGAACAAAAGTGTCAATAATACACCTCATGGGCAGATCATGAACCTGGTTTTGAGGTCAAGGTTCAGTGCTTATAGTCACTCTCTTCTGTATACCTACACTCTTCATCTTGGTGTCTTTTCCCCCCCAAGCCTTTGAGCTGGCTTAAGGTGTCTGTGGTTTTTGGTCCTCACAAGGAATGTGTGCCTGGACAGCAAAGGAGGCCAGCACCCTCTGGGCTGTGCTAACAGGAGCATAGCCAGGGGAAGGAGGGAAGTGATTGTCCCCCTCCACACTTGTTAGCCACACTGGGAGTACTGCATCCACTTGTGGACTGCCAGCTCTGGGAAACGTTCTGACAAACTGGAGTGAGCTCCCTGGAGGGGCCACAAAGATAGTTAGGGTGTTAACAGGAGAGGGTTCCTTGTGGGGAGGGTACTGGGCTTGTTCAGTTCACAGAATACAGAGGATTTAATAGCTGCCTTCCAGTGCCTGCAAGGATATTGCCATAAATACAGGTTCCTCACCATGGTACGTAGTGGTAGGTGCATCAACTTGGGTGTAAGTTGTAACAAGAGATTTTTAACCTGAATTCAAGGAAAAGCTATTTCACTGTGAGCACAGTCAAGCAGAGGCAAGGATTGCCCAGAGGTGCAGGCTTCATCTGTATAGATTTCAAGACTCAAACTGCACAAAGCATGGAGCAACATGATCTGACCTCTGACCTGACTGTGCTTGAGCAGGAGGCTGAACTAGAGATTTCCTGAAGTTGTTTTCACGCTGGATAGTTCTTCAATAGTAAATGTGAGCAAGCAGTAGCTGATGCGAGAGAATACCTTTCATAGCTGCTCACAAAGTTGGAGTCCTGGGTTTTTTAGTCTCCTAAAGAATTTTAAATTCTTTCCTGCATTGCAGAAGGCTCTCCCAGCCAGTGATGGTTTTGTTTAGCACTTTTGGCTGGAGTAGTATCTTCCTCTCTATTTAGGCCTGAACCTAGGACTCAGGACATTTGCTTTGAACCCCTTTGAGGGATGCCTATGAATGGAGTCTTAAATAAATTTTAGATAAAAAAACATCTAAAAGGCATGCTGACATTTGACCAAACCCAAGTTTCCTTCTTGCCAGTGCCCATCTCTATAAGCAAGCCCATGAGTCATCAGACCACGATGAGTCTTTATTAGTTCCTGTGACTGTCAGATTCCTTTCTTTATGCACAGTGACCCCTGTTGCATAGAGAGGTTGCAAAATGACCCATCTCAAGCTGGCAGTGTAACACACCTCCCTGGACAGTTAGGATCAATGGAGCAAAAGCTCCATAATCTGGCTGTTGATGATCAGGTTTAAAACCACACTTAGCACCTCTCAATCTCCCAGAAGGGAGAATTTTTTTAGTCTGAATTGTTCCCAGCACTAGGCTAAAGAGCATTGAAGAGTTTGAAACTGCAGTGATCTTTAGCAGGGAGTAATGGCAAGCAAGGCAGAAGTAGTTGGAATGATAACCTTCTGCTGTGACTTGGTAGCAGCTGGAACAATTCCTCTGAGTGCAATTCCTCTGAGTAGTCCTCATGGCTACTTTGCTTCTGGTTTTGGCCTTGGATTCACTTTGCCCTCTGTATTGCAGTGTCTTTTTGTGCTGTCTCTTGTACCTTGTACTGTAGCATATCTACCTGGGATGGAACTTGGTACCAAATTGTCAACACCTGAGTGAGTGCAAAGTGGAGATGTCCACCTGTGAGCTTTCCCAAGTGTAAAAATGTGCATCTAATAACCTGAATACCTCTGTATAGCTGCACTGCCTGTATTGAGTAGCTCCTACAGGAGCTTAACCAGCTGCAGCTGCCTTCTAAGAACTTAGCTCTGACAGTTGTGTTGTGATATGTTCTAGCTAAAAGCCTGTAGACTCTAGTCCAGCTGCAATAAATGCAGTTGTACTTCTGCTTTTTGTATAAGATTGTTGAGTTCACTAGAGTTGGGAAGAGGCTTCCATTTTGAATAAGTGGACCATGCTCCGAGCCTTGACTGTTTTTCTTTCTCTTCCTATTGTGGTTGCTACTGGTGTGAAAACTAAATTAGACAATTTCAGGGAAACTGGTCAGTAGGCTGATGTCCATGCAGACAGCACTTGGAGATGGCGACGTTGGGGTTTTTTGACAATTTGTATTATTAACATGAATAAATTTAGTCATAATTATACAGCTTAGTTTTCTAATAATCCACTGGTTTTGTGTCTTTGTAAAATACACTTTAGAGGCCTGGTTTCTCTTCTTGACAACCTCAAGGTGGTTTGCTGTGCGTCTGGATGCCATCTGTGCCATTTTTGTTATAGTGGTTGCTTTTGGTTCCCTGCTTCTTGCCAACAGTAAGTACAGATGTTAGAAAAAGTTCACCCAGTAATTACCATGTATAGTAATGCCTAATTCTTTTTCATATGTTGCTGTTTCTAATTGTTTAAAGGCTGTAATTAAGTTAAATATTTCTTTCTAGATCATGATCTCTTCCTTAGTCTAGGGCATTGGGGCTGTATCTGCTTTCCTGCAAATCCTGGAGGCAGTTCAGACATCTTCCGGGCTGAGGCATACATCTGTCATCATCCTCAAGTGTGCAAACAAACGTGCTCTTCTGTACTCCTCAATTCTGAGATTCTGGCTTTCAGAGCAATAACAAGAAATAAATCTTCTTCTTTTTCCCTACCTTTGTCTTTCTCTTTTGGGCCTACAGGGCTTTGCTTTTTATATTGAAACACCCACGGAGCTGCTTCTTAACAATGTTTTTCCTTTCTGCACGTGGCACAGTAGGTCAAAAGGCAAGCTAAAGTTCCTAGGGATACTCTTCCCGTATCTTGGATCAGAGGGATAGGCCAGTTCCAGAAAGAAAATTGCCTCATAATAATACATTTTATGTTCACTGTCACTCATGAACTGTCATTAGTTTATGCATCATCCAGGATGTAATTGGGTTAGACGTGCTAGAATGAGATAGTCATCTAAAACATGAAGGAAGAAGTAATTATCTTGGACATGAAAATTAGTGCTAATTTGCTGGTTTTGTTTCTTTTCTTTTTTCTTTGGATAAGTTTTATATGTGCATGTGTATTTTAAAATTTGAACACTCTGTGCTGCACAACTCCACAAATTTTGAGCTAGGTTTGATGTTACTATCATGCAAAAAGACAAGTCAAAACAATGGTCCTGAATCTTCCCTTGCTTCTGGATAAAGAGTAGTTCTCTCAAAGTCAATAGGGTCCTATGTTAGGATAAAGTTCAAGTAACTCAGAGGACAGTTGGGCTTAATGTTGAGGCAGGCAGGATACATTTATTTTGTGAGAGTAGACCCACTGAACACAGTAAGTGCTTTTATAAACAGGGGAAGAAATATTCTGTCCTTTTACTTTATCTGATTGTTTATAAGAGTACAAATTTGAGGTAAATTTCATAACCAATTTTGAAATAATTTTACACAAAGTTTTTGCTTAGGTTTAGGGCCTTACCTGATTTGCATAGAAAAAAAGTGAAGAGTTAACTAATGCTCAGCCAGACAGGGATGACCCTAAAAGTCTATGTAAGTTTGGTCTTGAGACTGAACCTCAGTTTTTAGATGAACACCAGGCCAAGGAGAATTTGGTTTATCTTGTCGAAATGTGTCCAAAATGTACCCCAAAAATGCAGCAAGCATCTGTTCTGCCTGGAGCTACTCATTGCACAGATAGCAAGCAGTGCATAACCAAATGAAATTCTGGCTGTGATGCTTCCATCATGTAAGTAACCTCATGAAAGAGAACTTAACTGAGATTTTGTGTAATTACAATGCACCTATTCAAGCCTCATTTTCCTTTCTTCTGCAGCTCTGAATGCGGGGCAGGTTGGTTTGGCGCTCTCCTATGCCATCACCCTCATGGGAACATTCCAGTGGGGTGTTAGACAGAGTGCTGAAGTTGAAAACCTGGTAATGTTTATTTCTTCCTTTTCCCCTCTTGTTTCCTTTCATGCTTGTGACATGAAGCTTTAAGGATGAGATTCTTCTTAAATAACTTCGAGTATTAATACCTTAGCAAGCAATTGAGGCACCACTCTGCAGTCATAAAGAAAAATTACTTCTTTTAGGTTATGATTTGTCTGACTGATTTTGAATGTTTGTTAAGATGAAGTGTGTCTGGGGATTGTCCTGCATTCATAGTAAGGGAGGTTTTACAATCTCCCTTTACAGCAGAAAGGAGACTGTCTAGTTACAGTGTAGACAATTGCATTGCAACTTGCTAAAGTCCCAATAAATTAATCCCTTTCTGTAAGGAAGATTTTAAATTATGTTTTTATATTTGGTATTTATAATTTATTGTTGTTTATTACTGCATTTTAAAATTTTATTTATATCCCTCATGGCATTTTTAGAGTCCTGTTATTCCATAGCAAAAGGCTTATAACTTTTAAATTTATTCTAAGTTAACACAAATGTGAAAGTATTTGTTTATATTCAGCTGACAAGGTTGTGTGTTTTCCAAAATATATCGTATAAAACGCCTTTGACCAATTCACAGTATTTACTAGCATGTTCTAATTGGCCTGTCTACTTTCTTAAGATAATACATAAGAAAAACAGATTGTAGGAAAAACATGCTAAACATAAACCTGGGATTTTTTTGGTTGTGTTGACAGCTGAAGTTACTTGTAATTATAGTTTGCTGCACTTAGTCTAGGAAATATGTGTAGTCCTTTCATAGAAGTTACAAAGCCATGCTTAATTATATTGTAATGATAGTAACAGTCCCGATAATAACAAAGTTGGAATTTTTCTTTTGCTACCACATCGGTTTTTCAGTGCATTTTTCACACACCAGTAAATGCTTGGTGACAGATTTTCTGAGAAATGGGAAGAAAGCTTTCAGGTTTTTTCATATCATTGGGGATGTTTTGGAAGTGTCTGTGGGAGTGTCACATGTACTGTGTAGCTTTCTTGGAGGCTGTGACTCAGAAATACCTTGGAAGAGAAAGGTCATTCATTAACCTGGCTTTGGTGTGAAATGCTGATCATTTTATGGAGTTATGATTAGCATTAACTTCTTTGATGGGTGGACATCCACCAAAAATCCCTTGTTGTTAAAGGGTGACTGTACCTGGGGGAGGCAAGAACATTTCATCTCCATTCTGTCGCTAGTTGGTCAAGGGCAGTGAGTGTCACACTCTGTTCAGTGGTGGTGCACCCTTGTGTTCAGTCCTGTGTGCAGTTTTGGGCAGCACAATACAAAATGAAGCTGTTGGAGCACATCCAAAGGAGGGTCGTGAGGATGGTGAAGGATCTGGAGGGAAAGCCCATATGAGGAGTGGCTGAGATGACTTGGGCTGTTCAGCCTGGACAGGAGGACACTGAAGAGCTGTAGACCTCATTGTGGTCTACAGCTTGTTTGTGAGGGAAAGAAGAGAGGCAGGCGCTGATCTCTTCTCTGTGGTGACCAGTGACAGGACTGAGGGAATGGCCTGGAGCAGTGGGGGGAGGTTTAGGCTGAATTCTAGAAAAAGATTCTTCACCCAGAGGGTGGTTGGGCACTGGAAAAGGCTCCACAGGGAAGTGGACATGGCATCAGGTCTGCCAGAGCTCAAGAAGCATTTGGAGAATGCTCTCAGGCACATGGTGTGATTTTTTTTGGGTTGTCCTATGCAGAGCAAGGAATCAAACTCATTCATGTGTCTGCCTGTAGTTAATCTGGCAGTTTCATTTCTAGCTTTATCTTTCTAACACACAATGGATTGGTGTCATCTTAGTCAAGACTGACAGACAACTCTCATAGCTTAATTTTCTTAAAGCTTTTGCAGTATTTAAGTTTGTAATTAATCCTACTGATGAGAAATGCTTATGAATGGCTTTATGTGTCATGATAGATCTGAATCTGTAGTAGGACATGAGATGCATTCTCTCCACTTTTTTAGTTGCATAAAGAAAGCCTAGAATGGCACCAATACTCTTAACTGTGTTAAAAAAAAAAAAAAAACACAGAGTAATTTGCATTGAATCTCCATGGTAAAAATTTTCATATGCAGGCAGTATTTGCAGAGTATGCCATAGGATGAAGCTCATGTATCTATGTCTTCTTTCCTCCCCTTAGATGATATCAGTAGAAAGAGTGATGGAGTACACAGAACTTGAAAAAGAAGCTCCTTGGGAGACCAACAAACATCCACCACCAGAATGGCCTAACCAAGGAATGATAGCATTTGAGAATGTTAACTTCACTTACAGTCTAGATGGACCATTGGTTTTAAGACATTTGTCTGCTGTAATTAAACCAAAAGAAAAGGTATGTATGTGGCTGTCTTTGGATATTCACAGAAATTAAGCCAAGATGATGAGTTGGCAAGAAGCTGCATGCTAGAAATGATTTCTAAAATACATGGATGTTAGGAAAATGGTAAATGTTCTTTTAAAAATAAGCCTTAGTTATATTTAATACCAGAAGTAATAACCTATTTATTTCATGTAAGTGTAGCATGAATTTGTCTGGGAACATGATATTTCAGTCTATCAAAACAAAGGATTAAACATACCTTATAATTTCCTTAAAAAGAATCTGAGATTCTTCAGAAAGTAGCAGACATGGAAAATACCAGCCAAGGCAAGAATGTTTGTTCAAATCCAAAGAAAATGGAGCTGCATTAGAAAATTGGGGTTTCAACAGAGGGAACATAATTGGAATTGAGTATGTCAAGAGACAAGGTGAGCAAAACCAATAGAAAATAAGGAATGTACATGCCCTTGCACTGAGTCCAAAACGGAAGATAGAAGAAAGAAATACAAATCAGTTGCATAACTTCAGAATTTGGGATTTTATTTCAGTTCTTTTTAGCAACCAATGCAATTAACTGTTGTCGTTAATTAGATTGGTAGCCAAAAGAAACATAGAAATAAAACTCTTGCTCCTCTGCAAATTTGACTCCTCCTCCCCAATTTTGACACTATCCCTGTTGAAAGACTGCTGCAGGGAAGGTCTCCCCCACAGACAAAATTAAATTAGAGCCCTGAAGTGTTAATTTGTGCTTTGCTACATTTCAAATGCAGGTGTACTTTTTTGATTAGGAGGTCTTCCCTAGGAGAGTGGTTCAACTGTACAATCCTTGCCTGTGCCTTCTTTTTAACATGTTTTTCCATTCAATTCCAAACCGTTCACGTCCTCAAGTGGACCTTTATAATGTGCATGTTACAAAAATTCAACCAGACTTTGCTACATTGAGGTGATTTCCTGGAATTAGCTGTGAATGAGTAAAAAATGGTCTCTTGAGAAGAAGAGCCATGTGTCTCCTTAACTGTTACAAGTCTCAGACAAGAAATCCCAGATTTCTCAGTGAGAGACAGGACTAAAATTAAAAACGGAAGCAAGAGATAGTAGCAGTGCATGACTCACACACCTTGGTGGGGGCAGGAGACAGAGGGATGACTGGGGGTATTTATTTTTGCTGAGCAGTTATGCTGTGATTTCATCATCTTGAATTTGTCCAGCTTGAAACTATTGCCAAGAACTTTGTGTTTGCTTTCTATGATGTTTTGCACAATACTGCAGTAGGCTGCCACTGTGTAAAATAAATTTCCCAAGCATCTCTCCTCCTCACATTGGTTTTAATTATGGAGAAGCATCTTCTTCAGAACCAGGTTTCTAGATCTGTTGGGGATTCTGCCCATACTGCTGTCATTGGAAGTTCTTATGCCTGTTTAGGCCCCTGGCTTTTAGGGACTTCTGGTGGCTGCAGTGCCACTGGCAGCAGGAATGAGTTTAAGCTTCTGCTGTGCTTGTATTTTTTCTTGTAGCCACCCCAGGGCCCAGTTTGGGAAGCTGTGGGTATGGTAAGAATGAGGGAGGTGATTGCTAGCAGATCACTCACTCAAGGTCTCTTTTAATCTGTTTTGTCTCAGCATTCAGTATTTCCCTACAGTCAAAGCAGGCCAGGAAGGACCCTGTGTTTTAAACATCTTTGCTGAAGTAGTGTGGTCTGGCAGAAACAAATCAGGCAGACGCAAACTGCTGTGTAACCTCCTCTGCTACTGTAGCTGCAGCAGGGGAAGGTTAGCATGTGTAGTATTGGGTTTTACACACCATCTTTGTTTCAGAGAGCTCATGAATGCTTATTGGCTAACATATTGTTAAATGCGCCTTTTCCTGACAGCTCCTGGGTCTGCAGGCTACATGGAAAAGTCAGGAAGGTGCACATGTAGATTTATGGCATGGCAGCTGTGCTCCCATGATGAAAGGGAGGCTGCCTGAGGGATAACAAAGACATGGGCAGTTTCAGTGGAGTGGCTGACATGCTGTAAATATCACATTTTTTGTGCAGCTCTGCTGTGATGTACAAGTGACACTTGAGTAATGATGAGCCCAGCGTAGCAGGTGTACTCCTGTGTGTGCACTGGGCTTGTATCAGGCAGCACAGTCCTGGCCCTGTGATTCCTGATAGGTGTCACTTCCATTTATTTGCAGGCTGCTCCTGTATTTGCACTGGCTGTGAGTGTGGGCTTGTGAAGAATAAAATGTATTCAAAAAATGGATAATGTGTATACTGAGAGCTCTTTCAAATTCCTGTCAGTTTTCAGCAGCCTGTAGTCAATTGGACCAGAGATGCAAATAGATTCTTCTAAATGTTGAAGAGCATAGTCCTTTCATTTGATGCCAAACCAAAAATGGGATTTTGACAATATGCAGAGCAGCTGCATTTTTATTTTAAGTATCAATGTATTTTGTATGGCTTTTTCTTTATATCTTTGATACAATACTTTATATTGACATTTGCAGAGGAACAATTGAACTTTCATTTTCACAACTCTGATTGTCTGTGTTCTCTATTCAGCACTTTCTTTCTGAGCTGTAGTTTATCTATTCAGAACTATTTTTCCATTGTTTCACTGATACAATTTAGAGTATTAAACATTTGATCATTTATTGTAACAGATTTGCTTAAATTAGTCTGTTTAATAAAAAGAATTGTAGAAATGTTAATTAGTTTATAGTACAGTAGTACAATAATGAATTGTTGGATGAAATTGTTAAATCAGAATGTAGAAGGAGAAAATATCTTTTAGATTGTGCAGCATAAATTTCTCCTTGAAGTGTACTTTTTTAGTGTGTTGTGTATTTTTTGTCAAATGTGGGCACTGCTGTTTTGTGTGAACTTCGTGTCTCTGACTGAAAGTTTCTCCTTGCACTTTGGTGCAGTTTCCTGTGCTGAATTTCATTTCAGCAGGCATTGCTGCATACATGTGAGTCTCAGGCAGTAGATAATTGCCCTCTGGTGTCTGTATGTACACTCATGAAGGTTTTCATCTTTATTCCTCTTTTCTGCACCCCAATGATTTCACCAAGCCATATTGTACATGTTTGATCCTCATAAATCCTTCCCCATCAAATCAGGATCTCCAGCCCATATTAATTTTGTGTTGCACTGCTCTGAACTTTTTCAGTGTGCTGATTTTTTTTTTTTTTGGGGGGGGGTGGGGTGGGAATGTAGGGATTAGAACAGAATGCAGGAAATAAAAAATTCTGCCAGATCAGATCTGTGTAGAAGGTTACACCCATTATCTTCTCTGATACAGTTGATTACTGTACACTGTTTTTCTCTAAGAATCCTTTATCCGAGTACAACATTTTAAAAAATTAAAATAGAAGAAATATTTCTCGATCTTAGCCCCTTGTCATTAAAGTTATCAATCCTGTATTTTTCATTGTCTCTTTTTTCTGAAAGCTTTATTTTTTCTTCACACTGTGTATGTCTTCCAGTTTTTCTTTGGGAGAAAAAAGAACCCTGAATCTCTGTGATTTTATTATTTGCTGTTTCTTCTGTTTGAAAAGGAATTTCAGCTTGATGTCATGGCCTTGTAGTTTCAATGTTTGCTGAAGATGTCTGAAGTATGGATACAGTTTATAATCATGCTACTTTAAAGTACTTCACCTTAACCATAACTAACCAAAATCAGTCTCAGGTTTTTAAATTGGGAGTACATTGTTCCCAGAGTGCTTCATGGGAGTCCCTTTTGGGGTTGAGTAGTAGATGCATGCATGAAATGATTTGCCTAACATCACCCAGCAAACCAGGTTCAGTATAAAAATTAGCATCCTTGAATCACATTACTGTATGCATTGAGCCACTTTAAATTGTTTACACAATAAGACACCACACTTTACGGGGAAATCATTCACCTTTGAATATGATCCAAGAAATTGTCATGTATACAAATGTCACCTGAATCCAAACCGATTTAAGGGGAGAGGATTTTTCCTCTTGGAAGAATGTTAATTACAAAGAAGTTTTATTTGGTGCATGTTCTACTGCAAATCCTATGGTGCTGTAAAAATGTTGCTTGACATACTAATTTCTCCTGAAAAGCTCACAGTTTAATGGCACAGGCTTGGCTTGCTCCCTAGGTTGGAATAGTGGGAAGAACCGGAGCTGGGAAAAGCTCCCTGATAGCAGCCCTCTTTCGCTTGGCAGAACCTGAAGGAAGGATTTGGATTGATATGTACTTGACATCAGAGCTGGGACTCCATGACTTGCGGAAGAAAATCTCAATTATACCTCAAGTAAGAGAGCGACTTGGTTTGCCATGGGTGTTTTGAATATAATACTGTTTAATGTGCTGTTTAATATAATAATGTTTAAACTGTTTAATAATGTTTATACTGTTTAATATAATAATGTTTAAAGTGCTTTGCTGGGATGTGTTTCCCCTGCACCTCTGAATGCAGTAGATACAGGAACTGTAGATAGGCGTTATTCTTCCTTGAGGAAAGTCTTGATTATTTTAAGAATCAGTTTGGGGAACTGGAGCATTTTTCCCCAGTTTTGTACCCTGTCTGTTCCTTTGGAATATCTGTGTGTTAGCTGTATGCTGTCCTCCCATAGTCTGTGGAGAAGCAGAGAAAATCTGGTAAGTGTATATCAGTCCTCAGCAGTCCTCTGAGTCACTTGATCCTTTGGCAGCAATTCCTGCCTGATGCTTCCTTAGTAAGGGACTTTGCAAGACCACTTTCACCTCTCCAGTCATTCCTGTACAAACTGACTGGTGCTAGATTTAGAAGGAGAAAATATGATACCTAGAAGTGAGATATCAGCTTTTTCTTTATGTGGAGAAGGTTTGACAGGAGAAGACCAGAGGAGCAGACTAAAGAGTAGGTCATTATAACCCATGATAAATAAAACTTGATGAATTTTAGAAGCTGAATGCGAGAAAGGCCGCAGTACAGGAAAAAAACCCCAATAGGGCAGTGTTGGAAATAGCCTCATCTCTCGTGCTGGGGTAGAAGAAAGGCTGTTCAAAGAAATCCAGTAGGTCACAGGTCTTCTCTCGTAGAGTCCTAATTTCATGAGACCTTGTATCAGAGAAGCGTGATGTGTAACCTTAAAACTTAGGAGGCAAAGTCTGTGCCTGTTACAGTTTCATGAGAGCTCTGGTCTCTTCCCTGGTCATTTGCTCCCCAGTGAAGAGGGAGGAAGAGTGAAAAGCTCACATGCTGCAAATGTGAAGTCATATTTTGGAAAGTAGTTCATCTGCTCTGTTCTGGCAGGTAGAGTGAAGGGTAGACTGTAAACCAAAGGAATTTTTTTGCCATGTTTTGCATTATTTCTCAGATCTCTCTATGTTATAACAGAATCTGTGTTTAGAATTATGTCTGAATGTGTGCTAGTGTGTTTGCAGGGTGGCAGTCAGAGTGTATTAATTTCTTTAAGTTGAGAATCTAATACAAATGGTAATGAGGTGTTTTTTTTTCTCAAATAGTAGGAGTCAAAAAGAAACAGGTATGCTATTGAAAAACAAATTAAAAATAGGTACTTCCCCAGCAATTGGATCATTGCCTAATGCAGGATGTCTTTTGTTTCTGCATGCTGCAGGCTTTGTTATTGCAGTACTCACTGGAAATAGTCCTCTTTTGTATGTAAAGAGAAGTTTATATGGATTTAAATTCCATTTTTTTGTTTGTGTGTAGCGTTCCTTTCTCGTGAAACAGATGATCATCAGTTCATTCAAGGTCTACGGCTTTTTGAAAGCCTTGCCCATAGCTCTTGTGGATGATTTTTTCATTTTGAGGAATTCAGCCCAGTTGGACAAAACAGGATACTGAGACAGGAAAACTGCAGGTCAAATACGGTTTCTACATGTGAATGACACAGATGCTCAAAGTTCATCACATTCAATTATACATGTGGGGTTTTTTTCATACACAGGTCTACTGACATAGTTTTAAAACTGTTTTAATCCAGTGGAACTCTGTGATTTTTGTCAAATTTATATAAGGTTTGCATCATAGTGACAAAAGTTTTGAGTGCCCAAAGGCTAGCAGGTAGCTTTTTTTCTTTCTTTTTTTTTTTTTTTTTTGGATGTGTGTAAGGGAAGGCTGTTTCTACTAACAATATGCAAAACTATCAAGTGGTGGTACAAAGAAGAAGAGGAAGGAATCAGGTTTCTGCTATGGTAAACTGTATTGGTAAACTGTATGATAGGCATTGTCTGGTGTGGTGCTAATAGTAGTGTCAGTAATAGCAATGTAACATCAGGTAGTTATTTTGCAGCAAATATCTTCATAATTATGTGGGCAGCTGAAAAACCAGAGAGAGAGATGCTTATTAGAATTGCAACATAAAACATGCTAAACAGAACCATTCCTAGAGAGTGATGAGGCAAGACTGAAGTTTTCTTGTCTGTGAGTTTAAATACCTACCTGGAGAAATAAAAATGTGCTTAGGCTTCTAATTGCTTGCTTGGATGGAGCTGTGTAAAGGTTGTGTTTGTAAATCTTTTCTATGCAAATGTTGTCTGCCTCTCTGACTGCAAGCATTTTTACAACAATTATTTACAGGTTAGTCTTACTGCTTTCCTCTCATAAACCAGACTGTTTTAAATAATAATCTGTGTCAGAAATGGTAATTAAAAATATCCTTATCTTCTGTTGCAGTGCTTGTCTGTTGTTAGGACTTTTATAATAGTTGTGAACACTTTATAGGTTCAGCCTCCTCTTTGCCAACCTATAAAAATGGATTGAAAAGGAAAATAAATGCAACAATACCTTCAAAATATGCCAAATGGTGTACTAAAAAGTGTGTTGTTAAACAAATTAGTTTCTAGGTGTTTCTGAAGAAAATTGTTTTTTGACTTGGAAATGTTTTGTGTTAAACCCTTTTGCTCATTCAGCAAGTTTTTAATGACATTGCTATTGCAGCAGATACTTTCAAATAATTGGCATGTTATATCAGGAAATATGTATCTTCTTTTATATTGCTTATGGTGTGTTCTGTCTTTTTAAATTCTTTTATAGTACTCAGATGGTTTAGAATTCAAAGACAATAAAAGGGTTAAGGTCTGAATTCTCTTCTGGTTTGCTGCAACCCTTTGGAGCTGGGCATCACTAGGGTTAGATGGGGAGAAAGTCGTGACAGGTTAATCTCAGAGTAAGCGGAAGTTACCCAGTGTAAGTTATATTTTATTTCCCAGGGGAGAAAGAAAAAAAAAAAGAATGGATTCTGCCTAAAATTTCTCCAATTTAAAGAGAACTGACAACATGATAAATGGTCTCCATTTATGATTAGCACTGTTACAGCTTTTGACTTGTTTTTGTCTTTATGTGTGGTATTAAGATGAGTTTAGCCCTAAAGTCATGTCAGTGCATGACTCCCAGGTCTGGCAACTCACATTACTGAGTACTGATCTTCTGCTTAAGGAGTTCTGAACCAAAAGTCCTCTTCCCAGTTCTTAAATACTACATATTTCAGTGTGATTTGATTTGTGCCAGTTTGATGAATTACCTGTTATTGCTCGCACTGGGACCTGAAGTAGAACAAAACTTGCTTCGACCACATTCTTACCGCATTGGTGCCTGAATGAGAGAAGGTACTGATTTGACTGTCTGGTGTGTTTTGAGTGAGATCTTTGCCCAGCAGTGCTCCAGTTCTCAGTAAGTTTGCTTTGGTGCTGTGGCAGTATAGATGTGTTTAGGTACTATATGGTGAAAACTGTTCCTGCTTAGCCCTGATGGTGCAATGGAACGGCTTTTATGGCATGGAATGAAAAAAAAAAAAACAAACCCACAGCCAAACACAGAAGGAAAACCAGAAAGGCATTGTTAGCTCTTTGATTCCTCTCTGGTTTATGTATTTCAAAAACAGGTTTTCAAAACTGCCCAAAAGTAATTTAGAAGTGTGAGCTCATTGACAGTGGTAGTTGTTGGTTTTCATTAACAATACCATGAGGATAGCAACGATTTCATAGAAGCATATATATAGTTTGTGGCATCAGAACAGTGGCATGTAAATGCCCATTGAAGTACCGACATAACTGTGTAGAGCAATTTGCAAACAGACCTGTCCTGTTTGGTAAATTATCTTCATACAGAGTAGTTGAACACTTGCCTCCCCCCCCATCCCTCTTAAGCATGCAGTTGGAATGTACACCTTTGCATTTCAAAAATAATAGCTTGTTGATATTTCTGTGCTATTGTTGATATAGGTTAGCTGTGATTATCATTAAATTACCTATTGCAATATAAAACCTGTATTTATAGTGGAATGCTGATTTTACTGGGTTTCAGGAGCCTGTTTTGTTCACTGGAACTATGAGGAAAAACTTAGATCCTTTCAATGAATACACTGATGAAGAGCTGTGGAACGCCTTGGAAGAGGTGACTTACTAAATCTAATAATGTACATCTGGTATTTAAAATCCATGTAACTGTAATATTACAGTGCTTGTGTGTGTTAGGTTTTGGACGTTTTCATCAGATTTGATAAAGGTATAGCTGTTGATAGAAAAAAGTACACTATCATATGTGCGTTTGTGTATGTGTGTGTCCATGTGTGTGCAGGCGTGTATATTGTTATATAAGTCTTTTGTGAAAAAATTATCCTTTGGGATGATGCCTTGGTTATAGTTTGATTCATATCTTGGTTTTAATGAACATTAATAGATTCTTAACAACGTGCTTTAATGTTTTTAGAATTCTAATAACTGACACACACTGTAATCCAACTTGGCACTTACTCATTTTGTGTCAGAATATAAAAGGCAAACCTTGCATACTTATTGTTGTGTCATCAGACACACAATAGCTGATCTAAAAGAGTTACTCATCCTACAATATGTTGACATGTCAACAGGTGCAACTGAAGGAGGTTGTGGAAGATCTACCCAACAAAATGGAGACACAGCTGGCAGAATCTGGATCTAATTTTAGCGTTGGTCAGAGACAGCTGGTGTGTCTTGCCAGAGCAGTTCTAAAAAAAAATCGTATTCTTATCATTGATGAAGCAACAGCAAATGTGGACCCAAGGTAAAAACAAAACCTGTCATATGAAAATGAGCTGGTTTCTCTTCTAATACGTTTGTCTCTGCTGTAGAGATGAACTTAAATGCTTTATATTTCATGTACTTTGTATTGCTGTTTTATGTTTTTGATGATACCATCATTTTGTCTATTCAAAACAGGATGATTGAGCTTTGGCTATGGAGCAGATGATATAAACTAAGCACTCAAAAGATCCCTAATTTCAGTGCATTCCACAGAGTAGGAAATTAATATTCAAAGTTTATTTGTCCTGCAGCCATAGATTAGAAGACAAGAACGTTCTTGAAAATAAATCTCTGTAACATCAGAATAGCCAGGAAACAAGTTGAGTTCTGTTGACTTCTGGAAGAAAAGTTTCTTGGAAATAAATAAATTCAAAAGATTTAATTCATCTCACTCCCAAAGCCCCCTAAAACTAGAAAGGTGAAAAATGGCTGTAAGCAAAACCGGATACTTCTGGTTGTGAATTGCTGTCCTTTCAGATGGCTCAGATGCTGGTGTTGTAAGTTAGAGGTAAAGTAGGGGCAGAAGATAAGCTGTCCCAAACACCACAGGAATTGCAGAACTGATTTGGAAATGTTGAAGTCTACAGGATGGACTCACTAGTTCATTAGTCTGTCTTGTATAATTCAGGCCAGCAGAATTTCCTGAATTCATTTCTGTTTGAACTAGAGTGTACTTCTGGAAGAACATCCAACCTCAATAGCAAAAAAAAAAATCAATGACAACCCCTGTTAAATTGTTCCAATAGCTAAGTACCCCCACTGTTAATTTTTGAAACATTTGAAGCACTGGTGGAAATACTTGGGAAACAATACTGCAAACGTACTGCATCAATTAGTCTGAGCTGAATATATAGTTCCAACAAACTATGGCTTGAGGGAGAACTCAAAGTCCAAAGAGGACAATAACACAGCAAGTCCCTCAAACAGATGCATTAAGGATTTTGTATGTCATCTGGGCGTGACTCATTTTTCTAACATCTTCTCAGGGGAGAAGTGGTGCCCTACTGGTGTAGCTGTACAGTTCAGCTGACTGTATTTCTAAAACCTGTAGAGAAGTGCAGTCCCTTTCCAGGGGTTCTCTTTTTTCTTTTCTTTTTTTCCTTTTTTTTTTTTTTTTTTTTTTTACTCCTAGTTTATTTTTGGCTGAGCTTTGATAGATTAACTTTGATTAATCATAGGTGTGGAAATTTAATACTATCTTACTCATCCTCCCTATTTTGGCATCTCACATGTGTGTTCTCAACTTGCACTATCCATTTAATTGATCTTGATTAATGTGTGCTGCAATATATATTATAATAAGGTAAATGTTTGTTTGTATCAACTCTAGGCATAACAATACAAATAATAACTTGGAACTTCTTCTTTGAATTCAGTTTGCATTACAGTCATTATTACCTTTTCCTTAATGTGTTGGCATAACTAGAGCCAAGTATTTTTTAGCTCTGCAATCTGATAGGATGATCATCAGGAAATGCTGATGTGGGTTGCTTAACTGAGCAGTTAGGGAGGCATTTTTGGTGTGTAAGGAAAACCTCCTCCTCTTCTGATGCACAACCCCCATACCTGGCACCCTTGTCTCTCACCTGGTGGCAAGCACACATCATATCGAGCACCTGAGATGGGAGACCATGGCGAGCTGCCTCCGCCTCTGGAGATACTTCTCTTAGTTTTGTATGTTTTTCTGGCTCTTGATCTCTCTCCCTCAGCAGCCTCAACTGCTGCTGCCACCCTGTCCCTTCTGCAGTTCACCCTGGCAGCAGGTGTGAGAAGGCAGGAGTTAGGGAAGGAAGGGTGAGGTGACGTGAGGCAGTGGTGGCACTGTGGCCCACTGTGGGGTGAGCGCTGTACCTTCCCCAGGGGACTGAGCCCGAGGGGCTCCCCACCACATTTCAGCTCATCTAGGCCTTTCCTGTCTGCTACTGGGAGCGAAGGGAGGGAATTTGAAGTTCATCTTCTCCCTCCTCATATGTTCTGGCTTGCATATGTACCCACATTTTCTCCCTTGCTCCTCAGAGATGCCACCTGCTCTGCATGTGGCAGAGGTGTGAGTGCTTTTTGGGGGGAAGGAGGAGCTTGCCATAAAAAAGGTTGCCCTAAGTCAGACTACCTGTGTGATTTATGTGATGACTGATAGACATTTAATTTGATTTTATCTTCTTGGTCCATTCTTACCCTGAAGAATAGAGTCTGGTTTTAAAGCAGTTGAAGTGTTCTGGAAAATTGAAATCTGGAGCAGAAGAGCTGAGAATCTTCATGTAGTTGCTTTGATGATACACAGAAACAAAACCATTAGTAACTGAGACTTTTTAGAAATACTGAATTTGTTTTAATTGTGTTAACTCATATTTTTGCTTATAGAGAACAAAACTTTTGGCGAGCAACCCACTGACATCTTTTTACATTGGTTGTTCATTGAGTGTAGTAAAACCAGCTATTGCACATAGTTCAGTTCATTAGCCATCTTAAACTTGTCATGTTTAACCTTTTATTACATCTAACTGCTAACTGTAACTCTTTTGGAGAAATTTTCTAAGCCTCTCAGGAGTTGTGTAGTGTGAGATACGCTTTCAGGACAAACCCAGGAGGACATTACAGAGAAGATAATGACTTACCCAGTTTTCCTTTCAGCAGCTTGGTTGCTTCACATTCAGATCATATTTATTCTTCCTCTTCAGATAGTTTTCTTTTTACACAGTCAACTAATTCAGGTTACACCAGATCTTGGGCTGCTGGGATAGATCCTCAGCCTGTGGTGCCTGTGGGACAGCTATACCACCATTTTGTGCTTTCTTATTGTATTGTTCCTTGCAGTAAGGAGTATTGTGGTTCCCATTTTTATATAATCAGATTAGGATTGGGTTTTTGTCATCCAGCAGCCCTGCTTTTGGTATTCAGGTTTAATCTTTGGTTTTTAATGTACCTGAAAGGTGATGGGGTTTGATCTACTGAGGTGGGTGATGAAATCACGTGGCACTTGCCAAGACATTTGTTCAGTGTGGGTAGACATCAGTAAGAGTCCATTTATGCCCTGAAAAAGGGACAGAAATTGTGCTTCTTTTGCTACTTTTCTAGCTCTAACTGGTATGTGATCCAGTCTCTACGCTCTGTCAGCACATAATTCTGCATACAGATGCTTTTCTTGGTCTTTTGAGATTCTCCTGGAGGTTACTGATAGTGTTTCTGCCTGCTGTCCCAAAAACTATGCTCCAAGATCTGCCATGAACTTTGGAGAGGATATAGCCAAGTGTCAGTCAGCAGACATGTTTGCATGAGATCTTGTACTGTGATACTTGAAGATGGAGCTATTAAGTCTGTTCCTGATTACTCTGAAGTCTCATTTTAGAACATTTGTCACACCCACAATATGGACAGCAGTTTCTTGTTAGTGATAAGCTTGTGTTCAAGAAATACCTGTTTCAGATAATAGTTTGATAGTATCTCTCTAAGAATGAGTGGCTTTTTTCTTTTGAATGTAGGAAGAGGTAGTGCTATAAAGAGGACATGTAATAAAAGAAGATAATATAAATTAATGCAGAGGACAGGGGTATTCAAGGCTGAGGCATTCTTGGAAAACAGTAGGAATAACTTGAGTCACAAATAATTTTAAGCCCTTTTGAAAGTTGTTTCCAAAGTTCCTGAGCCAGCTATGGTTCTCATGTTCTGTAGTAGCTTCGCAGAAAACTTCACCTTGAGCTTGACAATAGAGAAAGAAAAAGGCTTTCTTTACACAATTCTAGGGAGTATTGAATATTGAATATTTCATTTGTTTTGCTATTTCAACCATTGCAGAGAACACACCCTGCTGTGTCTATAAGACTGTTCCATAGTGAGTGTTTTCATGGATGTCCCTGCTTTGCTTTTCCTTTTGTAGGTAAGAGTAGCCAGGTTATTGAGGTGTTGGTGAGAAGAGAGCAAACAAATATACATTCATTAACACTGGGGTGAAAGGACTGGTATATCTCTGATGTGGAACATGATGAACAATTTCCTCTTCTTAAGGAGATAACACAGAACTAAAGAGCCTGCCCCTCTCCTGACTCCTCTTCCTGTCTCTTCCCCTGTTTGCTTACTGGCCTTTGTTCAAAAAGAGATGAGGAACACCTGCTTCCCACTTTGTTTTTGAGCTTCTTTGAGGAAGTAGGAGCAGAAGGACCAAGCCTCTCAGACTGTGGTCCAGAACTCAGTTATCTTAAGCTCATGAGAGAGCTTAAATGTTTCTGCCACCAGATGAAGGTAACAGTTAGAATGCATGGAATTCCTACTTAACTGTTTATGTCTTCCCTCTCTCTGATGATTCCTGCTGTCATCAGCAAGGATCTGTCTTCTCCTTTGTTATGCTGATTGCTTCAGCTTAGCTTGTAGCAGATGCTATGTTCGTCCTTCAGAGCATGAACTCATACTTTCTACTGTGGAAACATAATCACTACCTCATTTCTTTAAGTCATCCTGTTCTTCCAAAGTTGTCTGTCCACTTCTTATTGCTGGTGCCTCCTGGCATGAGGGCCTCAGAACAATTCTCTTTGCATAATTCATGAAGTGATACCAGATACTCATCATGTGCAAACAGATTCAGTGTGGAGTACTACTTCTGTCTAAACAAATACTACTTAATCAGAAGAAGACATGTTTTATGTATTTTTATGTATTTTATTTTATTTTCCCATTACTTCTAAAAATTTGAAGAATTAGGACTTTGCAAACAACTGATTGCAGCCAACATGTCTGTCTAAATATTCTAGTTTATTCAGATATCTCCTTTGTCTTTTTTTAACCTAATCTGCACATTTTATTATTCTCCAGTCATCATATATGCAGAATAACAAATTCATGTTTTAATAGAAATCCTGAAAATGAGGCCCCTGCCTTCAAGTGCCTGACTTCTTGGCTGGAGCTTCCTTGGTTCAACTAACACCAGTGTATTTTGAATTCTTTACATCATCCTTCTATCTTGGATGAGAATTTTGGTTTCTGTTCCTTTTTCTCCATTGTCCTTTGGGGTTTTTTTGAACGCTGGTGGGCAATATGTGAGCATTCACAAGGCCTGGCTGGTGGGACCCAATTCTACCTGTGCAGTGCGGGCTATCAGGTGCCTCTAGAGGGCATTCATCACTGGGTGGTGCCTAATCCAGGTCCTTGGATTTACCTTCCAGCCATGCCTCTTCTCTTTCAGTCACTTAAGAGGGGACTGTAGAGATCTCCACGTATAAGCCTGACTGGTGTGCTCTAAGTTAGGTGGTGTCAGTGCTTCCCTTGTACAGTTAGTTACTTCAATAAGCTCCAGTTCCATGAGTATTGCCCATCTTTTGCCTTACTGCTCATTTACACAGCTAAATAACTTTGTAGTGTCTAACTACCTATCAGTATAATTTTGTTTCCTTTTCACAGTTCTCAGCTTTGTTTGTGACAGTTTTTACTTCAGCCCTGTACTTCAGTGTCTGTGCTCTAGCTTAGTTTTCATTCTTTACAAGTCTTATATTTCTTCTGCTGTCCTTTTCTTAGGTGGTGGTTAATTCATACCATAGGCTCACCCTTAACTTGAAATCTTTTATCTCTTTCTTTGAGTTGTGCATTCCAGTTAATGCTTTTGATTTACAGAGTATGCCAAGTTTTGAGTTTTTTCAGTATTCAAGTTCTTGAGCTATTCCAGTTCTATTTTAGTTTACCAACCATCTTCTCTAATTAATCTTCTTTTGCATTTGAAATCATAGAACCTTAGTTCTGTGCTGCCTTGTGTTTGTTCTTCAGATGATTTTAAATGAGGGATATGTACTTTGACCAACTTTTCTTCACTCATTGCATGAACTAAATCTTGAAAGAGAGCAACAATGGTTTTCGGTGTAGAAATCAGTAGAACTATCTGAATCTACAGAGTTTTCCTTTTTCTTTAATCCAAGTCTGAGAAATTAGTCTCCTGAAATGAAGTCTTTTGCTCTACTTTAAACAAGAAACCCTTTTCTCATGAGGTATGAAAGGGTAAATTTTGGAGTACGTTTCATGATACGCCTCCAAATCATCTGGTATAACAAGAGGAAGAAGCGCTGTGATAACTTTAGAAGCATATTTCCTTCTATCCAGTCATGTTTGATGAAGTCATAAAACCTGCCTGCCGTTCAGTTATCCATGCAAGCATCTTATTTTTGTCTGCATTGCTCTTGCTGTGTTTCAGAACAGATGAGTTCATTCAAAAGACGATCCGTGAGACCTTTGCTCACTGCACAGTGCTGACCATTGCACACCGTTTGAACACCATTATTGACAGTGATAGGATTATGGTAAGACAGTTAACTGCTTCACTGTTGGTTTTTTTTTATTTCCTGAAGAATAATGTTATTGACCCTTCTTAATTTTGATCCAAAAGTGGGTAGGAGTGTAAGTCATATGTTAGGCTTATCCAAGTGAACCTCATTATCCTAGCTACTGTAACTCATAGCTCATGAAACTGTAGATGTAATGACCTGGAAAGAATTCTTGCTTTCTCTGTCCTTGTGCTTTCCATCCCACAAAGCACAAACCCACTGCAGGTGAAGTGCAGCCAGGAGACCTGAGCAAATCAGCTCTGCCAGTTCTGGGAGCCTGTGAAGTCACACCCGTGGGGTTCTGGACAGTCAGCTGGGTTCAGCCAGGTGTAGGAATGCAGTCTCAGTGGGAGGCTGGGACGATAGCTGGTGTGGGGTGTGAGGAGGAGGAGGTGGTGGAGGTTCTGGGGCAGGAGGATGGAGGTAAGGAGACAGCAGCTGCCCTGGGGCAAAGGTAGCGATGGACTGGACTGGTGAGGTAATGAACATGGTCAGCTTTCCAAAGCAAGGTTCAAACAGAGAAGATGGAGCTCTACCAACACATCAGCCATTGCCCCCAACGGAGTAATTGTTACACCATGTCTGCCACCCTGTCTGCCCCACAGTGCACTGTACATGCATGGAAATTAGGAAATACTCGCTGATTATTTTCATAAAGGCAGTGGTGTTCCCTGGGCTCTCAGGAAATCCACCTGGTTTGTGTCCTTGACATAGTGTGCAGCCTGCAGTTCTACAATTTCCTGCAATAAGAACACGAGCCCTTTGCAAGCATCTTCATCACAGCTGATTAATGAAACAACTGGCATAGAGGGCAAACTGTGTTCATAGGTGGAACTCAAATTTTAGCTGGACTTCAAGCAGAAATTAACCTTCACCTCTTGGTGGTAACCTTAAAAAATACCTCTCAACTTATGTCTTATGGAAGTGAAACATAATTGTTTCCTTTTTTTTTTTTACTGGATTTTCAAAACATTTTAAAAACTTTGAGTTACAGTGCTTGCCTGAACTACACAAAATTAAACTATTCCATCTGCTGAGGTGAGTGGTGTTCTGAGGAATAGAATAGATTGTGAGCTCAGTGATTATAGTTTACTTACAAAGAGAGAAACCAGCAGAACTGCCATAAGTAGTCATGTAATTGCAAGCATTTAACATATAATAAATAAATATTTTCTTCTCTGGTGAATACCTCCCCACAGGTCTAATGGATATGTTGGTGTTTTCTACAACTGAAATGAACAAAAGATTTGTGAGGAAACAACTGTGACCTAATTAATAGCTGTGTGTGTTTGTTAGCTGTCCAAAGGGATTTCTGTGGGTTTTGGTTCATTAACTACCATTAACATGTTAGGCACAGAATGCTCTCTCCACAAAGATGTTTTTCTAGCTTACCTTTAATGTCATGAAGTTGCAGTGAAATTGAAATGTTTTATTTACTTTTTATGCCAAAAATTGTTGGAGCAAAGCATAAAAATCACCCTTTCCCCCAAACTACTCAGGATAATTCCAACTACATAGCTACTCTATTGCATTTTAAGTGTCCAAACATTATTCTTATCGTTATGTTGTTTCAGTTTAGTCACTATTAAGATTTCTAGTTTCCTGATTGTCTAATAGTCTTTAATGCTTTTGGCTTATTTAGAAGAGATTTGCAAAATGTGTCTTTGAGTCTGCAGTCAGTAGTAACTTCTAAATATTTTTGATCTTTTTGCATTGCTCCATTTTAATCTTACAGATTTCTGTAAACTGGGAGAGGGAGGAGGATGAGAAGCCTGATAACAAAAAGAAGAAACTGACATGTAGCTTCATATCAATCCTGTTTTCTTGACATCCTTACTCAGTTATTGATTCTGTTTAGGGGCAAATCAGAATTATCATCTCCTACTTAGAATGATCGGAGTTATGGCAGGTGTGCTTATGTTACACTTAATTACTTGGTTTACTTGGGCATGTAATTCCTAGTAGGAGCAAAGCAGAATTTTGGAAGAAAAACATGTTAAAAATGCCAAGAATAAGAATATTCCTCTAGAAGAGTAAGTATTCATTAATAAGGGCTATTAATAAAATCAGCATTCATGGAAAATTATTTATTTACTTCAATATCACAAAAATTGAGAAGACTTAGCTAAAGAAAGCTTTTAGTGTGTTCTGTAATTTGCTTAGTCAGTGGTATATTTTAGTCATTCACAAATTTAACTTGATGTAGATTCTTTTTCAAGAGGCAGAAATGCACAAAGAAAGTACCTGGTATTATTAAAAATCCTGGTTTTGTTTCTCTTTTAATTGAAACCTCTAGATGCAATAATGTCTTATTTATAAGCCATCTCAAATCTCTGTTGTTTGCTATTGTGGTAAGTTTTTCAGAAAGTGAAGGAAGAAGAACAAAGATAGAACCTGGCAGTCAAAATATTAACATTTGTCTTTTGACAAATAATGAGTAATTAATTTTTCAAACAAATTTTGGGCACACTTGTTCAGATCTCTTAAATCAGTTATGAATGTTCAAGCCCACTCCTGAACAAGTGGACATCACCTAGGGCTTTCCTCCCTTCCCATTGAGTCATATTGAAAGGAACCTCCTGCTCTAAGCAGGGTCAGCACTAATTTCACATCAGGTTGCTCAGGAATTTTTCCATTTGAGTCTTGAAAACTTTGAGAAATGGAGATTCCACAGTCTCTGGGCTACCTCCTCCAATGCTTAATTATCTTCATTGTTAAATATTTTTTCTCCTTATATTCCAGTGAGAGTCTTTCTTTCTTTTATGGCAATTGTTTCTTGTTTTCCCACTGTGTATCTCACTAAAGAGCCTTCTGTCTTCTCATAACTTCTTTGTAGATATGGGAAGGTTGCTGTTAAGTCCCCTGGAGCCACAGTTCTCCAGGGTGAACACGCCCTGCTCCATCAGCCTCTCCTCATAGGTGTTCCAGTTCACTGACCACCCTGGTAACCCTATTTCAAGCTTGCTCAAATTTGCCTTGCTTTTTCTTGTACTGGGGGGTCAAAACTGGTCATCATGTCTTGGGTGTGTTGGCTGCAGTCTCCAGCTTGGCGTTGTCTGTGAGTTTTTGATTTAATTCCGTTTGATTACTGGTTAAAGCAGAACTTTCCAAAAAGAAACTGTTCACCTTTAGGGTTAATCCAGACATTAAAAAAAAAAAATTAGAACAGAAAATAATTTTGAGAAAGTCATGAGAAAATGTCAAGTTGGATGAGTATGGAAATAGGAACTGAACGTGAACTGTTGCATGTCTGCTCACACCCGTCGTAATAACCGGTTCTATTTTAGAAGAGAAGAAAAGCCTACTCAGGGAGGGAAAAAAGGAAGAACAGAATATATTTTATACAACTGTAGACAAATCTGGCCTCAGGAGTTGTTTTAATTCTCGTTTGTTCCATTCCCAAAACCATACCTCTGCTTTCATAATCCAGGTCACGCCTTAAGAGTATTTCCATTATATCTGTCTTGGTGATAAACACATTTTATCAGAACTTCAAACGCTTGAGATCATTGAGGGAAGAGCTGTATTGTGTAATGTGATACTCTCTAACCCAATCGCCTCAATGAGTAATACTGCATTGCACTTGCATAGGACCTTTCATCTGGAAATTGTAACGCTCTTTATAAACATTAATTAATTAAACTTCAAACACCTGGGTGAGATAGGGAAGTATCCACACAATCTTTGGAACCAAAGTTGGAAAGACTTGTTAAGTCAGCCCATCAAATAATACTACCATAAAATTATAATCCAGCGGTTTTCAAGCTCCTTTTTTTTCTTCCCTCTGTACTGCTCCAACACCTAATAGGGCACTTTCTCATTCCTTTTCCTTCATTACTTTGAGAAGCCAAGTTGTAACTCTTCCCATCAGGTGCTAGAAGTACCCGTTTTAGCTCTCTGGCACAGGTAGGCACTGTGCTGCCTGGCAGAAGGAGAGGGCAGGATGAAAGCTGCAGTTACCCCTTCTGTAATGGCTAATGCTGGCAGAAGCTCAGCTCAGGCTTGCTTCACTGGTCCCTCACTCCCTGTAGCTTCCCCACCACCTCAACAGCTGATTCCCTGTCCCGTCCTCACCATAGAGGGCAAAGGTCTTTTATGTAAACTACATCTAAAGCTTGTGGCAGCCAGTGGGCACGACTCCCAATACTTCCAGGGGGATCTTATATAATCCCTGTCACCCATTCCTCCCCCTCCTCTCTGCTTCCTTCTCCAGGTTGAGTAATGCTTTTTAGAAACTCTGTTTTTACAGAGAGGAAAACAGAAGCATACCAAAATTGAGGCTCACCCAGGGATGTAGTGGTTCAGCAGCAAATAAAGTACATGCATCTGCTGAGAACCTGATGGAGTTGTTTGCTGTATATACTATGCTGTGGCCTCTCCAGAGGAAAGCCACAGAGTCAAAACTTGTGCATTTTTCAATGACAAGGATGTTTCTCCAGAGAGTTTTCATATCAGTGCAATACCTCTTTGAAATGGAAACTCTTTATGCAAGCAGAACTTGATCTAGTAATTAAAAACTGTCATTCAAATAGGAAGTTTTTGATGAGAGAATCATGGGAAGAGATTTGATTTATTTATGGGAAAACCTGTTGTGGTTACATTCTGAAATGACTAATATGCAGGGTAACAATACAATGCACTTCACAGCCAGACCTGAGTTGTTTTTTTTGGTCAATAGAAAATGACTTCCCACGTCTTTCCGGTGCGCCTCCCTCATTCGGTTATTCTCATTTTTCTGATGTTGTGTTTGCCATGGTGGAACATCTGGGCCTCATAAATCAGGAACTGTGTTTCCTGTGCTGTAGATGTCTAACTTCAGCAGAGCAATCAGTCCACCAAGAGTAAGTATAAACATCTTGGAATCAAAGAGACAGAGGGAGATCTGGGCGGTGTGGTGTGTGGTAAAAGGCCGTCACCTACAGCTATGTAGAAAATGCTGAGCAGCAGACAAGGTCTGAGCCCTTGTCTCTCTCTGG